ATGTGTGTGTGTGTGTGTGTGTGTGTGTGTGTGTGTGTTTGTGTGTGTGTGTGTGATACACATCCATTCAGAGGGCAGAAGAGGGCATCGAGTATCTTCCCCTATTACCTTCCATTTTGTCTTCTTGAGACAGGGCCTCTCACTGAACCTGGAGCCCACCACTGGCTAGGCTGACTGCCCATCAGGCTCCTGGGATCCGCCTGTCTCCACCCCTCAATGCTGGAGTTACTTGGCTGGTCCTGGCTTTTATGTGGGTGATGAGGATTTGAATTCAGGCCCTCTTGCTTTGATACTGTCATCAAGCACTTATTAGCCCCTTAAGCCATCTCCTAGTCCCTGCTTAATGGGTTCATAAGGTACCTGGCCCTCCCCTATATCTAGTCCCTTTTTTGATCATTGAGATTCTGGGGTGTCTCTGGGGTGTCTTAGATGGAATTACAGTCTGATAAAGTAAAACCACAAGCCACTGGAGCTGCTCAGGGAGGCCCTAGAAAATCTCAGGTTTCCAGCTGGAAGGAGAAAAGGCCTGGAGTAGATGCTGGTGATTATATTGAGACTAGTGCTCCTCGTCCGGTGAGTCTGCAGCCAGACTGAAGAGTGAGAGGTTCTCTTCCCTTCTCAGGTCCCCATATTTTCTCTCTCCTGCCTCAACATCAACACGGAAGTAGCCAGTCACACAGCCGTTCTGTAGGGTGAGGTCAGATGACAAACTACTGGGTGTGAGCAGGCATGTCTTCAGACTTACTGTATCCTGTTAGATTTTTCTCCAGGACCTACACTAGCAGAAGAAGTCTCCTTTCATTCCTGTCTGTCTTTGGTGTCATCCAACTTGAGCAGGTGTTGCTGAGAGATTTGGGGGAACCCAGCTCCATCTGGGTCTGGTGGTGTGGCTCTCTCCAGTTCGGGGGCCCTCTCGTGGCTTCACATTTTTTCTTGGCTGTCCGCTGCCTGCAACTTTGGAAACCCCACATCTTTACTCTTCTGCCTCACTTCTGCGTATTCTTTTCCTGGAGTACCGGCACCGAGGGCTCTATCACTCTTACCCAGGGTGTGTCACAGGGTACACATCTGCTACAGTGGGATCCTGTGAGGGCCACCCACATCAGTCAGCTCCTCGGGTATAAGCAACAGAAATAGGGTGATGAAGTGGTAGGCTCTCAGGTTTCTGGGTTGAGTATTATGAGAGTGACAGGAACCCAGCAAGTCTAAGCAGAGACCACGATGTCCCCACATGTTCCTCACTGTGTACTGAGATATCTTCCAGGCTTTGCAAGGACTGCCCTCTGCTGACAGGAGGCGGGGTGGCCCCTGGTTTCCACTCTAGGGAGGTCCTGGCACCTCACACACAAGACGTGCCTCAGCGGGGAAGATACATACTGGTGGGAACGGAAGGGCTGGGAGCTGGAGAGCCAAGAATGTCCTCTTCTGAGGCCCCATGGTCTCAGGTCAGTCAGGGTGGGTAACCAGCTTATTCAATGTCCCAGCTTAATGATGTGTAAAAAACAGAGCAGTTTAATGCTCGCTGGGCAGCTTCTGTGTCCTTTCTTAGTGACTCTTGCTCAAATTCCAACTCTTCCCACCACCTGTCCCCTGTAGTCTCCACTGTTCCCTCTCTTCTGGGCACCTGCCTCTGAGAGATATAACCAGGCCCTATGGCCTTGCTTCTCCGTGGGTTCCCTCACTGAAAGCTCCTCATACTTGCAATGAAATCGAGTGAGCTTCCTGCTGCCACTCTCTGGCCCACTTTTCCAAGCTCCTCTACTCAGAAAGGTACAAGAAAGGACGGTTGTAGGGCCGGGGCATGAAGACTAACACCTCACCTGCTTTGGCAAAGATCTCCTTGAGAACCTTGGCATGGAGCATCTGACTCCGCTCCAGAGTACTGCTCACCTTCTCCCCAGCCTTGCAGCCATGTTCCTCCTTCCTCCCCTTGACCACCTGAACCTAGGGGTGACAGGAGCTTTTGTGGTGATGACAGTGGGAACTGGAGTATTGCTCAGAATCTGAGAAGTAAGGTGGTGTCTCACCTATCCCATTGTGCAGTGTACACACACCAGTACTGCTATTTAGTAAAGAGTAAATGTGCTATAATAGAGAAGTCCAAGTAACTGAATCTGAGCAAAGTAGGCATTGATTTCTGTTATATCAGCAGTCTATAAATGCCTACTTCTATGTCCCATTGGCCAGATTTTGATCACATGATCACCAGTAGTCAGGTAGTCAGGGATGCTTAGAAATGTAGTCTTCTATTATATCCAGCTAATAGCCCAATGAGTCCATCTAAATAGCTCACATGTATGATTTCACTGTCTTTCTCCCACCTGGTCTGGCTACAGCAGGCACTGGTCTGGGGGGAAACTGCACGGGCTGTGTCATATGCTCAGAGGAGAACGGCTGTTCTACCTGCCAGCAGAGGCTCTTCCTGTTCATCCACCGGGAAGGTATCCGCCAGTATGGCAAGTGTGTGCACGACTGTCCCCTCGGCTTCTTTGGAATCCGTGGCCAGGAGGCCAACAGGTGCAAGAGTACGTGTCTCCTCCCATGTTGTAGGCAAGCTACCCTGTATCCTACCCTCTCCCCAAACATACCCTGGGAGGAAGCAGAAGCACACCCAAGCCCAAGCTTGCTGGTTTTAGCCAGTCCTGCAGCTCTGGGCCAGGTAGTCTCCTCCCTGAGTCCATCAGCTCAAAGAGGACACCAGCAGGTCTGGGCACAAACATGGCAGGGAACCTGAACTTCTCCCTATGGCCTCCAGCAGACTGCTCACCCCCTCTGAGTCTAGCTCCTGTAGGAAAAGTAGTCCTGACCTTTCCTCCATTTTCACTGTGACCTGGGACAAATCATCACTGATCTCGAGCCCTGTGGGTAAAGGGTGGGGGAACTTCACTCCTGGCCCAGATTGGCTGTGTGACATCTAACGTTATCACTTCCCATGCTTAACCTCAGCTTAGATGAGAAAGGAAGGCCTCCTCATATGTAGCCCAGCTCAACAATTTCCAAGTCTGCGCTGCTGACAAGATAATATATCCAGATCCCAGTGACCTAAACAGAGGACCCACCCCCCTCAGGCAGACCCATGACTTGTGGTGTCCCTGACTCTGTTGCAGAATGTGGGGCCACATGCGAGAGCTGTTTCAGCCAAGACTTCTGTATCCGGTGCAAAAGGCGGTTTCATCTATACAAAGGGAAGTGCCTGCCCACCTGTCCTCCAGGCACCTTGACCCACCAGAGTACCCGGGAATGCCAGGGTGAGTGAGACCCTGGCCACTTGCCCTGGCCTTGAGGAGAGGTCAGAAGGCCTGGAAAAAGTCAACAAAATGTTATGGGGTGGTGGGCAGCCCAGCCCCATGTTGGTATACAGAAAATCTTCTGAGCTCTAGTGCCACTGTAACCATCAAGATCATGGATACTGTACTACTAAGTCTGGCATTACTATTGTCACCAAGGGTGTTCTCACCAGCAGGGCAACAAGGAACAGTGTTAACCGTAGCTCCTCAGAAAGCCACTTCGTCTGTGTCCCAGGGTGTCTCCGAAGAAGTAACTACATGAGGAAAGGGCAGATCCCTGCACCTTGTGCAAAAGCCAGGCACTGTCAGGCACAGCAGGTGCTCTCTGTAACCCCACCCCTGTGAGAAACGGGTGGGCCCCTGGGGGTGGCTGAGATCTCCATCTTTACACTCCAGTGGGAGACAGAAGGGACATGCAGTTGGTATATAGCATTCTAGGTTCAGAATCTTTGAGAGGAATTCTGAAGTGGCATGAAGTTCCTGGGCCCTCCCCATCCATCACTCCCCACATCTTTCTTCTTTGGTGTGGCCTCCTGGGAATGCCTTTGAGCCTGCACTCCCATCCATGGCCAGAAAACATAAGACAACGATCTGCAAAATGGCTCTGCCTCTTAAGGCCTTTCTGTGGCTCCTCTTAGCCTCCGGCAGAGCCTGGGGCAATCAGGTTCCCATCTGGGACCTCCTCATGCATCTTCCTCCTCTTCCAGGCTGGCCTGCCTATCAATCAGGTCAGCATCTTGGGGACCTTGTGAGGTTTCCATTCACTGGAAGCACCTCCTACCTCTCCTTCCCAACCCACTGGACACTCGGTAGAAGAAGGCTTCCCGGCCTGACCCTCGACCTTCTGTGCCCTCCGGAACTACACAAAGCACCCCTGCCTTCCTGGCACAGTATCTCAGCATAGTGCATTCTGGGAGGCAGGCAGCTGCACTCTGGAGGGCAGGCAGGTGCATGTCTCTTATGTGCAGTTACCCTTCTGTACCTGCAGCTCTGGGTCTCACAGTAGGTGCTCAGTTTTGACTTGTCAGGTGGTGGCAGCATAGTTACCTGTTCCCACCTGGCTGTGTACACCTGTTCCTGCTTCAGACCTCAGCACCTGGGTGCTGCCTTCTGCTCAGAAATGAATGGAATGACTCTGCAATTCCCTCTTCTGAGAACTTTCTGTCCATCATCTCATTGTCCCTCACAGCAGCACTGGGTGGCTTTGACCTTCTACAGTTGATCAAAGGCTTATGGTCAAGTTCAAAGCTGGAACCCTGATCCTGAGGACCTTTTAGCAGCCAGATACCTCTGTGTCTGACCCCAGTTCCTGCACCTTTCTGAATCCCAGTCACTTGGCCTTTCAGATCCTGCTGGCCAGTGAGGCTTAATTCAGCTTTGTTAGATTCTCTGTGTAGCCTTCTGCTTCTCTGGCAGGAGCTCACTCTGGTTCCTGGCACAGCCTCCATGGAGCTCTTTTGCAGACTCCTGCAAATGGCAGTCTCTCTGTGTGTTCTCTGTTACCAGCAATAGACTGGGTCCCTTGCAGGTAGAGATCCTCAAACCCCTGGTCCTTGAATCCAAGAGGCACACACTACCAACTGACTCGCCTGTCTGTCTCTCCCTTCACCCATAGAGGAGTGTGAGCCAAGCCCGTGGGGCAGCTGGAGTCCCTGCATACACAATGGGAAGACCTGTGGCTCAGGCTGGGGCCTAGAGACCCGGGTGCGGGAGGCTGGCCCAGCCAAGCAGGAGGAGATGGCGAGTTGCCGAGTGTTATCTGAGTCAAGGAAATGTCCTATAAAGAGGCCCTGCCCAGGAGGTGAGTACTAGGCCTAAGGGCTGCAGTGGAAAAAAAACCCATGGGTGATTTCTAGTGTCCAGGGATAGAGACCACCCCCACATAGATGGCATCTGCAAGGCCACCTGAAAGACCCCTGCCTGCCAGTCCTTCCTGTGAGCTAAGCATCACCCTGTGGGGTACTTACACGGAAGGGTCCCAGATACAGGAGGAAGACTGATTGCAGTACCCAGGCCCCCCTTCCTCCCGCCCATGCCATAAGGACTTTGAAACAGCCTGTTGTTTCTAGTGGAGTTCCTGGGAAAGCCTGGGAAGTCGGGGTCTGTGGGTGCATGGCAGTGTAGTACCCATACTGTAATACAAAGGAGAAGTGATGCCAAGAAGCAGGTGCTTGACCCAGCATACAGGGATCAGTTGGAGACAGGTCCCAGGAATGCAGAGAGCCAAGGTTGCCATAGAGATTTGAGTGAAACACTCTAAAACCCTATGCACACATGTGCAGAGATCCCAGCTCTGAAGATTCAATGCTGTCAACTATGCAACAATAGAATGGGGAGCTATGCCTATACTCACCCCCACTAAATACCACAGGAACCCCTTCACTAAGGTGGGTAAGACCACAGATTTCTAATGGAGCACTAAGAACCCCAAAAGAGAGGGCTGTGAAAAAGCAATGTTAAGGACAAGAGCATGGTATATTAGCTTCTATATAGTCACTGGCTCATTTTATCTGCATGATGACTATGAAGTTTCTGTCCCACCCAGTCCCACAGCTATTTAGTTCCAAATAAACACACAGAGACTTATATTAATTATAAACTGTTTGGCCGATGGCTTGGGCTTCTTATTGGCTAGCTCTCTCTTAATTATTAACCCATTTCTGTTAATCTGTGTATCTCCACGTGTTTTGGCTTACTGGTGATGCCCAGACCTCTTGCTTCCTTGGCAGCTACATGTCATCTCCTTGACTCTGCCTACTACCTTTCTCTATCCCTTTTTGGATTTCCTGCCTGGCTAAATCCTTCCTGTCCATTGGCCAAAACCACTTTATTCATCAACCAATAAGAGAATCATATATTCACAGCGTACAGAAGGACATCCACCATCATCTATGTGTGCTTATTATCCCATCTTAGAAGATGGAGGCCCATGGAGCTTGAGTCACTTGCCCCAGGGTCAGATAGCCAGGAGTAGGTGAGCCTAGAGGCCAAACATTAATTATTGAGCAAAGAAAAATCTAAGTCATAGTCAACAGTGAAAGTCCTGGAGCCAGGACACAGGACACAGAGTTGGGACATTGAAGAGGCAAAATTTGAAGCCAGGGACTCTCCCACCACCAACACTACCCACAAAACACAGTTGGCAGTTGGGACAGAGAGTGGGCCTGGATGAATCTAGACACCCAAAACTCAAGGAAAGCCCTTTCTCGGGTGATGACAGTAGGAACTGTGGCTGCAGACACTCTGTGGCGATTGCTGTGAGTGGCATATGCTTAGTGCATGAGTTTCCAGAAGCCTGCAAGGCCTCCTCGTATATACCTCAGCCCAGTAGCCTTTTCCACTCAGCTTTTCTGAGCTCTCCTTCCAGAATCATCCTGTCACGTCATAGCACTGACACTTCTAGGGAAAAGCCCTGCTCCTTCTGCAGTTGTGTGCGGTGAGTCTCTGGAGGTCAAGGCCGTCTCTGATGTTGGAACAGGACCCAGATGCTGACTTGTGGGATGAGTAGGTGCAGGTGCATGGGTGGAGGGAAGAGAGGTGGATGGGTGGGTGGGTGGCTAGGTAGGTAGCTGTGTGAGTGAGAAGATGGATGGGTAGGTGAGAAGTTGAGTGGGTGGGTAAGTAGAGGGTTAGGTGACTGGGTCGATGGATGGTGGGTGGGCAGGTGCATGGGTTGGAGGACACAGGGTGAGAGGGTCTGTGGATGGGTAAATTAGGTAGTTCTGCGAGTGTGTGGTGTGGGGGAGGTTGCTTGTGTAACTGGGAGTTTGCATGGGTGAGCGGGAGTTTGCATGGGTGAGCGGGAGGTTGCATGGGTGAGCGGGAGGTTGCATGGGTGAGGGGGAGGTTGCATGGGTGAGCGGGAGGTGCATGGGTGAGCAGGAGGTTGCATGGGTGAGCGGGAGGTTGCATGGGTGAGGGGGAGGTTGCATGGGTGAGCGGGAGGTGCATGGGTGAGCAGGAGGTTGCATGGGTGAGCGGGAGGTTGCATGGGTGAGGGGGAGGTGCATGGGTGAGCGGGAGGTGCATGGGTGAGCGGGAGGTGCATGGGTGAGCGGGAGGTGCATGGGTGAGCGGGAGGTGCATGGGTGAGCGGGAGGTGCATGGGTGAGCGGGAGGTGCATGGGTGAGCGGGAGGTGCATGGGTGAGCGGGAGGTTGCATGGGTGAATGGGTGTGCATAGGCAGCAGGCTGGCTGGCCTAGGGGAAGGAGGAGGACAAAACTCAGTCATCCCTCCAATCCCAGCCCTCAGAGCAGACAAGAACCCCAGGTAGTACTCTTTAATGTCCCCAGATTGCATCCTCACCTGTGGCCTGCACGGTGTCTCCAGGGATTTAGGTTTGATGGGGAGACCCAAGCAGGCAGCCTGGTCTATGTGGTGACACTGAGTCTGCCCTACAAATGGAGATGCTGAGGCCCTGGCTCTTTGTGAGGGCAGTTAACCCTGGAGGAATAGTTCTTTCCCTGTCTGTGACAGGGTCTGAGGTCTCTCCCTGCCTGCTATGTGTCCTTGGAAAGCAGTGCCCTGAATGGTGTCATCAGTTCCAAGGACACACAGCTTCCCAGGAAACCACCGTGAGACAAAGAGCATATGAAAATGGCTTGGGTAGGGAGACACTTTATAAACTGGAAATTTAGGCTTGGCCTGCCTCCCAGACACACCTCAGTCTTTCCTGCTGTCACCAGAGGAGTGGCTCCAGCTGGGGTGAGTGCCCCAGGGAGCCTGCAGATCCTGGTAAAGCCCCGAAGGCAGTGTGGAACACCACAGGGAAGTGCAGACAGCACTATGACAAAGTGAGCCGAGAGGACCCTGCCAGGGGACATCCAGCTCTCCTAAAGACAGCATGCTGGGAGCTCTGCCACACCCTCTGCCATCTGGCCATGGTCACCCAGTCAGCCGCAGCCCAGATGAGCTTCTCTGAGGGGATCAGAACTGGCTCCAGAGGCTCCAGGCCATGAGCAAGTTAATCCTCTGGCCAGCCTTTGGTCACTTTGTCTGAGAAGAGACTAATCCATTGCTCACATTAGACAGACATATGCCGTATTCTTTCAGGGTTGGTGAGACACACTGCCATCTAGCTGAGACCTGGGTCAGGATTTGCAGTCAGCCCTCTGTACCATGGGAGCAGCTGAGGCCAATGTCTTTCCCTGCCTGTCAAATGGGATAGAAATGGTGGCTTTTGCTTCCATTGTGTGGATTTACTCTCCCCAGTCTTTGGGTCTCTCTGGGTCCTCCTGCCAGCACCAAGCAGCAGCTAAATCTCAGGGTCTCTGGCTGTGGGGCTGCTAGTGAGGGCAGAGCCTGACTAGAAGTAGCTGGGAACTGACAGGGATCTATGCAGAGGAGACTGTCTCCAGCAGGAAGTCTTATTAACAGTGAGGCGGGTAGTACATGTGTGGAGAGGTGTGGGGACCCCCATGAGGCCATCCTAAGTCCTGACAGGTGCTAACCCAAGTGGTCCTTGGCTGGACACAGGCTGTTACCCAGCCCCACCTCCACTCTGCGCACCCACTCCTCAAGTCAGTGTCCTCCCGACCCCTAGGAATTGCCAAGAAGGATTCTGTCCCGAATAATTTCACCTGCAGCCCCAAATTTAAAACAGGGTGACTTTGAGTCCCTCACTCAGAGCCTTCTGGGAGTACTTGGGGTTCCCTCAACTCTCAGGACCTCCCTGGACCTGTGCTCTCTTACAGAGAGAAATCCCAGGCAGAAGAGCCGGAAGGATCGACGCCATCGCAAGGACAGGAAGTTGGAGCGCAGGCCGCAGCAGCCTGGCTCACAGTGACCGCCTCCAGCTCCATCTTCTGGCCTCTCTTGGCTTGCTGCACTTCCACTGTGGTCTCCTCCCTTCTCCCCCTGCCTGGCTCTTTTGTCCGCGTCCCTCACCCTTTCTGTCTTATCGTTCTGTCTTTCCACTGCATTTTATCCGTCTCCCCTTTGCTCTCTCCCCTCACTCCCTTCTTCACTTCCTTGTTTTGTCTTTGGACCTTTCCCCCTCTCTCCATGTACCCTGTTTTTTCTTTCTGTTCTTCACTCTCCGCCCCCAACCCCATACACAGACACACATACAGAAGGAACCTAAGTCCTCCGTGTGGCTCTTTACACCTTAAAGCAAACATATTTTTTCCAGATCTGCGACCCTGTCATGACCCCACTTTTGCGGAGTTACAATTTAGGAGGAATAGGGATGGTGTAACTTGGCTAATCCTGGGAGCCCAGCTTCTAGCCAACGAGACCCTGCGACCTGAGTTGTGAGCCCTTCGCCGGGTCCAGTCAGTCCCTCAAGGCCATTTCTGCAACACTCAGCTATTGGCTCTGATGGATGAGTGAGGCCACCAGCTTCCAGGATCTCCTGAGGCCCAGACTGCACCCCTTATCCAGGATGGTGTTGTAGGAGTCACTAGGAGCCCTTTGGCTAGACAGTGGCCTCACCCACCAGCACATCCCTTTGCAAGTGCCTGCAACACACCCTCAGTGCCCCCTCTGGTCTCCCTCTCAGAGTGCCCGTGACCTTCCCCCAGTTGACAACCCATCCCACGGCCTTTGGGGACCCATGCACAGAATCAGGTAGGATTGTTATTCCTGAGGGAATAAGTCTCTCATCTCGAAGGCTATTGAAGCTAAATGGAGCTTAAAGCTGGCCCCACCCACTCTATTCACCACCCTGCTACCTGCCTACCCATCATACCCATAGAGAAACCTACAGCTGAGGGAGCAGTGGCCTTCATTCGGCACATCGCATCTGTGAAGAAGCCTGAGGATATTGGGGAAGCAGTAGGGAAAATTGTTGGATCAGCAGTTGGGATGGCTTCCCACTTTCCCACCTCCTATGTGGGCCCCCTGAGTGTTTTATTTCACAGGGATTCCCCCAATGCCAGGAAGGAGGAACACTGGGAGGAGCCTTCAGGTAGACCAAACTAATTGCCAGGTCTGTCCTTACCCCTGCCTTTGGCCTAGGAGCTGCCATCATTGCTGGGGAGGAGTCTGGGCATTAGAGCCCAAAGGTAGCTGGAGAGAGATGTAGTCCAGGCAAGAGAGATGTACCATATGACATAATGTCACCCCCTCAGGCAGTGACCCTCACACTCACCCGACACTTGCCAGGAGAGGGTCCCCAGCACCACTCCTGATCCTGTAGCTGTGTTCCTCCCTGGTGTCCCACTTGGAACACCTGGATCCACTGCTTGCCAGGCCAGGCTCTCTGCTTCTCTGTGGAGGTTCACACCCCTGAAATGCTTTCTTGCTTTGAGACCCCAGCAATTTTTTTAAAGAAAGAGAAAAAAGGAACTCATGAGGGCTTATTGGGCATCAGATAGTTTTAGAATTACCGTGCCCAGAAGTTCACAGTAGCAGAATCTAAACTTCCTGGGGCAGCTTCCACCAGAGCTCAAGGGTCATGAGGACCAACAGGACAGACAGGGTTTCTGCTGGAGTGCAGAAGGGGTCTTAAGAAAGGGTCTCAGGGGCTCTGTCATTAAAATGTTTGCCTTGTCACCATAGGACCTGAGTTTGAACCCCAGAACCCACAAGGAAAAAGCCAGGCATAATGGCTTGCCTCTGTGGTCTCACAGCCCCAGAAAGGCAGAGATGCCTGGGGCTTGTTGGCCAATCATCCTGCCCCAAGAGGCAAGCTCCCGGTCAGTAAGGAACCTTGTCTTTAAAAAGTTAGGCAGCACCTGAGGAACAACACCTGAGATTATCCTCTGGCCTTTAAACACTTGTACACAACAGGCATGCACACATGTATGTACACACACACAGAGGGGGGGGCACTTTCAGCCACAGTCAAAAAATAACATATCCTAGCAAACCCTCAGCCTCTTAAATCAGTTACAACCTTGGTCCCCACTTGTGCTCTATTCGGCTTCTGAGAAGTCCAGAGCCACCCGAAAGAGCACAGTCGGAGTCATGGCCACAACCTGGGCAACTAGAAACCTGGTGTAAGCTCAGCCTGTGAGCAGTTAGTTACCTGTGAGTCTGGGCCATGCCATCTGCCCTTTGGGGCTTCCGTTTCTCCTTTTGATCAATGAAGAGGAGACAGGACTAGACTCATCCCATCACCTGCATCTGCAAGGTCCAGCCACGTTCTGGGCTTTAAGAGGGTTTTAAAGCTTCAGATTTCGGGGTCCCACCCCAGACCCACACATTATGAACAAGCTGAGAAGCAAATGAGACAAGTGAACTTACTCTAGACTGAGTTGGGAGGAAGGGCAAGCTGAGTTTCAGAGTCTGGATTGAGGATCACAGCTCCAGCTCTGACCCCACAGCGCAAAGGTCTGAGTCTGTGCATACATGGGGGACACAGATATGTTCTCGCTGACGTTATCAAACCCTAGGCCACTGGAGGCTCTAAATTCTATAGCTGTTAGAGGACAAAAGTGGGGGTCAAAGTGCAATTATCTAGCCATGTTCTTTCCCCGGTGAGGTGGGGAACCTGATATTCTACCCTTGACTGATTGCTCTGGGTATTTTTAAAATATTTTTAATGTTTTCAGGTTTAACTAATTCTCCCAGAGCCTCCACTGTAACCTAGGGCTTCAGGCATCCATCATCCACCTTCTATGCTTTTGTGGTCCATCTTCTGCACCTTCCTGGTAAGGGAACCTGCACACCATTAAGAGCCCATCATCTGAACGCTTCTGGCAGGCAAAGCTGGGAAAGTTCAGAAATGCTCCGTTTCTGGAGTCATGGAGAAGGCCAATGAGGCTGTTTGGCCCCTCAATGATGTTCTAGAAGCAGAGAGAAACACTTTGCCGCTCCTGCCCCATTCCTGCTGGCCTGTACCAGGCCTGATTTGCCACCTACTCTGTCCCCACCCCCACCAGACCGTTCACCATGGGCTGCCTGTTATTCCCACATACAGCCACTAGAGGGTGTGACTCAATCAGGAACTGCCAGCCTGTTTGCTGCCCACTCTGAATTTGGGGGCATATTGCTGTCCTGGAGGACAGGGAGAGAACTGAACAGTGACTTCAGTGGAATGGTCTTCACAGAAGCACACGATGTCTAGACTCCAGACCCAGGTCCCAGGCCACTCCAAGGCCAGAAAAGAAACATGACGCCAACATCCAGGAGAGCTGCAGTGACTGACTTCGGCAGACGCCAGCCCCAGGCGACATGAACATCCCAACTAGTTTAAAGAAAATTTCATTCATCCCATGGACCCTTCTGACTTGAAAATGTGCATTCTAACAATAAAAATGAAAGTGATGGTGGTGATGGTGTTGCGTGTTAGTTTGGCGCCTGGCGTGTAGTGGAGGTGCTAAGAGCCGTATCACTGTGTTTCAGTTCTTTTGAGTCTTCCCTTCGAAAGAGACCATAGTAACTCACATTTTTCTGTCTCTCTCCTCCATACCTGAATTTTCACACCCTTTATCTCCTGCATGTACACACAACCCGTCAGCCAGCTTACAGAAGAGAGAGACTCATCCAGATCCATCAGCCCCATCCACTCAGTACAAAATGCATAAGATGCCTACTGTGTGCTTCACACTGTAGAATACCAGTAATAAAGACCTGGGCCTTTTCCCCCTGTATGCTTGGTCAACTCCAATCGTGTGAAAGGCCTTTTGCAAAGGAGATGTTCTAGGAGAAGGGTCAAAACATCCATCCACAGCCCATTGGTCAGAGATCTCTCCAAGACCAGGGAGCAAAAGGCATGAGGGAGGATTGTGGAGTCACTTTATACAAAGGGTCCAAAGACCTGACCCCATACCAACTTCCGGCCTCAGGAGCATCCGGGTCTTGGACCACAGGCCCAACTGTGAAGCTGCTCTTCCTGTCCCGGGCCTCCATCACTCAGCCTACCCCACAGCCCTTCTTAAGGCAGAGCAGACACACACCCTGGTGTGCCGTGGGAGCAGACAGTTGGACAGTGGCTCCTCCAGGCCGATGGTTCCAGCCCCCAGCTAGGAGTCTCCCCAGTGAGGCTGCCCTCCTGTCCTGCCTGGGCTCCTGGCCCTCAGAACCCATGAGCATGACGAAATGGCAGTTGTTTTCTGTTTCTGGAGTGGGAGAGAGCTGTTTCCTAGGAGTACGCAGCTGGATCGGACTCATCTTGACATCTGTCCCCCAAGGCAGACGTGAGATGTGTTAGAACTGAGGACAAAGTCACAGATGCCACCTGCATCCCTGCCTAGCTATGAGCCACAGGTGAGAACACACAGTCTCTGTGCCTCAGTCTTTGCATCTGTGAAAGGGGATAAGAGTGGTCTCCATGGTGTCAGTGTGAGGCTTCAGCAAGGCAGTGTGTAAGAAAGGGGTTAGAGATGTAAGTGCCTAGGAGTGGCCTTCTCATTACATACTCATTCAACAGACATTTACTAAGCACGCTGTTGGAGCAAGAAACGAGGTCAGCCATTTAACATGGAGCACTAAATTAGTCCTCCCCAGAGCTCTCTTAAACAAGGAATCCAGCACTTAGAAAGTAACCAATAGAGTGGGAACATGGAAACAAAAACAGCCCTGAAGCAGTCACGTCACACTGAGCAGGACAGGCATCCTCATCCCCAGCTCATGGAGCACCTATGGGAGCAGATCCATGGCCATCCTCATCCCAAGCTCATGGAGCACCTATGGGAGCAGATCCACAGCCACCCTCATCCCCAGCTCATGGAGCACCTATGGGAGCAGATCCATGGCCCTTCCTGCCACTTGTTTTGTTCCTCAAGGATGAGGAACAGCGTAAGAGAGCAGAGCAGATCCTCCCACAGGAAATCCAAACCATGACAGTATATCATAAAGATACCACTTTCCAAAGAGGCAGAAAGGTGACTACACAGGTCT